CAACAGCATCACTACCACCACCAACAACAACAATCTCAACCCCCACACGCGACCACTCTCCATGACGGCGGCGAAGATGATGCTTTGCACACACTACTACACTCACCACTCGCCCAGGGTCCGACGACCCCCGTTACCCGCCGCAACAACCCCTTCCACCGACTCTCCTCACACTTTGGCCGTCCCGATGCTGGTCCATCGCTGCTCGACCCTCCACCACCCCTCACTCGTCCACGCTCACGACTGCAGCGGGCTCGCTCGTCCCTAGGCTCGATATCAGGCCTACTGCACTACCGCCCCTCGTTGTCTAGCCGCAACAGCAACAGCAACAGCAACAGCAACAGCAACAGCAACACCGACCTCCCCGCTGACTCGTCCTCCTCGCCACCTCTCTCCCCCCGCCCACCACCTGCCCGTTCCGTCTTGCGTAGGGCTCCAGCCCATGACCAAGACCCGTTTCTGCCACGCGTCCAGGTGCCCGACCTAGGCTTCGATTTCGACCAACTCATGCAGAACAATGTCCAGGCACAAGACCCAGATACACCGGGATCCCCTTTCCTCGCCCCTTCGACTCTGCTACGTCGCGATGGCCGCGCTCTCTCCATGCTGCCAGCACAACGGCGGCTGCGAAACATGATGAGCTCTCCACGGAGGAGGCGGTCCGTATGGCACGACGAGGACCACCTGGGCGGCGTCGAGCGGCGGAGACAGGGCGAGGACCAGGCTGACGTGCTCTCGCGGTTACTGTCCCTGGCAGCGGCCGCAACCGCAGCCTCGCTTGTCGGCGATGACAACCAGCAAGCCACCCAAGACGGCACTTTTGACACCTTCCTCGAGTCACTTGAAAACGGTAGCATAGCCTCGGCGTTGAGGGGAAACGAAGGGCCAGACAGCAGTGAGGCGGCAGGCGGAACACCGGCACCTCTCAATTTCTTCAGGATGTTCAGGTTTGGGACGTCTACGGAAAGCAGAACAGGCACGAGAGCGGGAAGCCGGGGCAGTGTGTCTGGGGGTGCTGTACAGGATGGCGAGGACGGAAGCGAGGGTCGGATGGTGCCCATCATCATCGTAGGCATCAGGTCCATCACGCCGGGCGCTGGCACAGGGCAAGACGACAGCAACATTCCCCCCTTTTTGGACGCCCTCTCTAGCTTCCCTACACCACCGACTTCTCCCGGCGACGCCAACGAGCATGTACTGCGACCTCCCCAAAATGGGACACGCTTCAGTCACCGCCGGCGTGCGTCCATGGGCGGCTTCAACTTCCCCTCCAATTACGACAGCCAACGACACCATCGGGCGCATGCACAAGACCGACCACGCCCTTGGTCATCCGTCGCAGACGACTCTCCAACCGGTCCGCTTCCGCCTCCTTCCACCCCTGCTACCATGCTAGGTCTCTCGGCTGAGCCATCGGGCACGACCACACCGGCTGTTTCCACCTCTCCGCCGTCGCCCACATCACATTCCAACGTGCCTTCGCGGCGGGAAAGCGTCGCACGCAGACCCAACGGATCCTCTCTTGAGCCTACCGTGGAGGAGCCCCAAACATCGAATCGGAGTGCCAGACCACGCCGTCTCAGTGAATCCGACTTTACGCGCTATGGATCCGGCGCCGCCAGACGACGGGGTGTTGTGGAGCCAGACGACAACCCTGGCGAAGGGTCGAGAAGCTGGATCATCTACGTTCTTGGCGGCAGCTACCCAGAGAACCATCCTCTCCTCACGACGCCCAGTCTCTTCACAGACTCACCCACTTACGAGGATATGATGCTACTCTCGTCTCTTTTGGGCCCTGCAAAACCGCCAGTAGCAAGTGAAGAGGACGTAGCTTCTGCGCCTGGCTTGTTTCGTATCAGGGGTGGTCCAGGAACTCTGATCGCTGAGGCAACCGAAGGCGTTGAAACACTGAATCTCGCAACGGATGCACGCTGTCTTGTATGTCTTTGTGAATTTGAAGCAGAAGAAGAGGCGCGCAAACTGGTCAAATGTGAGCATTTATTCCACAGGATCTGCATTGATCAGGTAAGCAAGCTCGCGCTCCCATGCCCACGAAGCACGTGCTAACCATCATTAGTGGCTGACGACCGGCCGCAACTCCTGCCCCTTGTGCAGAGGAGAAGGCGTCCAGGAAACAAATAAAGACGATGCAGAAGCCCCTGAAGCCGAGAGTGCGCCGTTCGTCCAGCCCATTGCCTGAGCACCACATTCTGTCCTCATCAGTCGTTACACTCTTACTTTGTTATACCCCCTCCTTAGCATTCCAACGGACCACCATGATCCGTTCCTTGAATATTATGGGCTGACGTGTCATTTTCCTTGTTGCAAAATCTCCATAGTATTGGTACCTATCTTGTTATGTCGGTTTTGGGTTGGGTTTGGGAGCTTTGGGCGTGCCAATCATCCTCTTGTTTATTTTTTTTTGGGCGGATCCTAGGCGTTTGGCATACTTGCATCTCGATGCGACGGAGGCGCAGAGAAGAACAGCTGGGGAGGGCCATGGGCAGCGCTTGCTCTGTGGGCAGCATTTGGACGACATCTACGACTTTTCCTTGTGTTTGTGCGGCTGTATACGAGAGATTATGCTCGGGGAACAGCAAGCAGTAGTAGTCTGGCACAGGTCAAATAACAACTTGCTGCACTGCCTGAAAACATGTAACAACATGAGCACTCTAGCAGCCTATAATGGCAAAGAGAAATCACCTAGAAGCCGCCGTACATGAATTGACTTGCTAACTTTCACATGCTTCTGTGAACTTTCAATCCCCTATTACGAGGTCGAGTGATGAGACCAATTGTCAAGTCACGGAACAAAGCCAAGGTGTACCGTACTCTAGAACGCATGTACATGGACACCAAAAGACCTGCAAAGAAAAACGTACCCGCCTTCCGCAACATGCTTATCCCCATAGTCTTAATACGCAGGGGAGTATAACAATCCCAAAACAGGGCATGTAGAATGGATCCCCCCC